AAACAAATGAATATATAAAGATACTTTTATAAATATCCGAAGTGAATTATTGTTCGAATTCCTAACACTGAAATCAGAAGAGTAAACTCAACAAAATGAACCTCAGAGCATGCAGTGAGTAAATGTTTATTCACAGAAAACGTTATTTTATACAAATAAACGCGAATTCAAGCGAATTAAAGGATGGCAAAATCGCCGGTCGTGCGGTATTGTTCGCTGGTGAACCAGGAACGGGTAAGACGGCGATAGCGATGGGTATGTCGAAGTCAATCGGGGACGATGCACCATTCGTTTCAATCTCTGCTTCTGAGATCTTCTCGGTTGATATAAGTAAAACCGAGGCGCTCATGCAATCCATCAGAAAGGCTATTGGTGTACGCATTAAGGAGGAAAATGAAGTTCGTTTTTTATCTGTTTTGTGCTTGTTGTGATCATTATGGTTACCGATATTATTAGTGTTATCACTAGTATTATCAGTGTTGCTAATTAATCGCCAGCAAGTAAGAAAGCTAATCAGTTTGTAATTAACTCATAATTACTCCTCGCCATACTTATATTATTCGTTTGATAAAATGCTCAACTAATTTCTAGCGTTTAATTCAGTTAATCAGCAAAGGAACGTATAGGCTAGGTAATGCATAGTAAAAAATGTTTTTGCTATTGGTTGGTCAGTGGGTATACAATCAGTTTTTTGAAAGTTTAAAAATAATCGAGTGATGATTTAAGGTACTTGAAGGTGAAGTGGTTTCAATGGAAATAGATCGACCAGCTGCTGGAGGTGGTGCTAAAGTGGGTCGTTTAACCATAAAAACAACTGATATGGAAACTGTTTATGATCTCGGTACGAAAATGATTGAAACTTGTATCAAGCAAAAAATCAGTGCTGGTGATGTGATTCAAATCGATAAAGCTTCTGGTTGGTTTCTTTAATGCATCAAACTATTTGATTCATTTGCTATTTGAAACATTTCTGAATTTCTTATTTTGTGCGCATTTCAAAAGCAGATACAAATTTCAGATTGTCATCTAATATTTCATTTTAAAAGTAACCGATAAGCAGCTTTCGTGTTATCGATTCACACTTTTCATGATTAATTTTATTCTCACTCTCTTAAAACTTTTCTCATTCAGATCTTCACTGAATGTTCAGTTTTTATTGCTCAATTGCAAGTTCCTAGAAGTGAATATTCTGTTGATGGGGTTGACATGCCGTTAGTTGATTTAAGGACGGATAACAAAACTTGGTCGTTCGTTTTCGAGACAACACGACTACGACGCAATGGGACCACAAGTCAAATTCGTCAAATGTCCTGAAGGTGAAATTCAAAAGCGTAAAGAAACAGTTCATACGGTACGATATTCTCTTGGTACTGCATTTTATAGTTAGTCTTTATGGATTTATTCATCTCAAATTGAGTTTTTGATAGTTATTTTTATCATAATGAGAGCAGATTTGGAAGAAATATTTTGGAGAAGAGATAGGTTATTGATCTGGCTATTATATTCCACACTTTTAATTCATGTACGCGTCGCAGTGGTATCAGTTGTTTCATCGTGTTATCGTTTGATATGTTCTTATTATTATTTCCTATGTTGCTGTTATTGTCATGTTATATATTTTACAGGTAGCATTACACGAGATCGATGTGATCAATTCGAGGTCACAAGGCTTTTTGGCACTTTTCTCGGGCGATACAGGAGAGATAAAAAATGAAGTGAGAGATCAGATCAATAAAAAGGTCAGTCAGTTCCGTGGCACTGGATTATTTGTGCATTATACCGAAAATGCATATTTCATTGAAAGAATTCGAATTCGCTTGTAAACAAAACCAAACTTCCAGCGTTCAATGATGTATCCAGTGAAAATTTTAGTTCGGTTTGATTGCGACTAGAAGTGTCACATACAATAGCGTAATGTGATTGATCATTACTTTGGAAATATTCGCACTAACTCAGTTGATATTGATTGATGTTGGAAGAAATGTTTTGAAGTGTTATGGTAGATAAGATAAACTGCATGCTGCAGGTTGTTGAATGGCGTGAGGAGAACAAAGCCGAAGTAGTGCCTGGTGTGTTGTTCATTGATGAGGCTCATATGCTGGATTTGGAATGTTTTTCATTTTTGAATCGCGCTATCGAAGCTGATTTATCTCCAATCCTTGTCATGGCCACAAATAGAGGTCAAGAAATGATCAGAGGTACACATCTCAAAAGTCCACACGGCATCCCAATTGATTTGCTTGATAGGTATTCGTTTGATTGTCACTATTATCATCCTATTTTTGTCATTAATCTTTGTTTTGGTGTAATGTTCTTGTAAGTACGATGAATTGTCATCGCGCTTTTACTTACAATGTGGTGATACAATTTTTATAGTTATTTCCATCGGTCAGCAAATAGTTTTGACGAAATGATTTCTTTTAGTTGATGAAATCAATTGATTCAGGTCATTGATAGTCAGAACGAAGGCGTATTCAGAGAAGGATATTGAGGATATATTATGGATAAGAGCCACCGAAGAAAGTGTGAAGTTAGAGCGTGATGCAGTGGCCATATTAACGAAGCTTGCTGCACAGACCTCGTTGCGATACGCTATGCAACTGATATCAACTGGTAACGTTCTGCGTGAGAGGAGACGAGCTGAGCAGGTATACTCCTTGATATCTTCCTTTTAACAATATCGAATCATGAGGTTTTAATTTTGATTGTTGATGTGGCGATCGTAGAGATTTATAGTTACTCTCCCAGTGCTTTATGTTGATGTTTTATTAATGGATTAATAACATTATTGTGCGACCTTCCTTATCATTTTTCGAGGAATTACACTTCATCGGTCGTCAAGTTATATTATTTGCTTCAGTTGTCATTTCTCATCCTTATTTGGTTCAAATAATATTTGTTTATTCAACATCGATGATCATTTTGCACATTTCAGGTTTCACCAGCCGATTTAAAACGAGCATATACACTGTTTATTGATCAAAAAAGAAGTGAAAAATTTCTAATGGATTATCAAAAGCATTTTATCAGTGAATAATTATCCCAGTATCAGCTACTGGATGACGTAAGTGAGCGAAGTAACATTGTGTGTGACACTCATCAAATCAATTCCGTTGTGATTTACTCCGATGCACTTGGATCATCGCATTTTGTTTGAAAATTCACTCTTATAGAATGTAACTTAAAAATCATTATTTGAAAATATAATCCTGTTCAGAAAATGGAATCAGCGTTATTATGGTAATATCAGCATAATTAGAAAAAAGTTCTGATAAATTTGATATGATGAGCGTTCTCTGTAACGTTTTCGTGTTCTCAATAAGATCTCAGGCGATGTTATTGATTTTTATGCAGTTGTATCTGTTTTGGATTGCTTTATATTGTTATTTGATCTATTCAAAAATGATTCGTTCCTATCGTTCATAGCTGTTTTCAGCAAATTAATTGTTCCGATATTTAGGATTGAATTGAAATGATT